CCAGCCTTCTGAGGCCCCCCTAGCGCCCCCTGGCGGCCGCTGCCCCCACTTTGGAAACTCCTGCTCTATTGGATTGAAATCTGGTGACTATCAGGAGACCATTCGAGTACAGTGAACTCATTGTTGTGTTCAAGAAATCAGTCTGAGATGATTCATGCTTTATGACATGGTGCATTAKCCTGCTGGAATTAGCCATCAGAAGAATGGTACACTGTGGTCATAAATGGATGTACATGGTCAGCAACACTGCTCAGGTAGGCTGTGGCATTGACACAATCCTCGATTGGCACTAATGGGTCCAAAGTATGCCAGGAAAATATCCCCTACACCATTGCACCACCAGCCTGAACCGTTGATACAAGGCAGGATGGATCCATGCTTTCACGTTGTTGACACCAAATTGTGACCCTACCATCCAAATGTTGCAGCAGAAATGGAGACGCATCAGACCAGGCAATATTTTTCCAATCTTCTATAGTCCAATTTTGGTAAGCCTGTGCGAATTGTAGATTGAGTTTTCTGTTCTTAACTGACAGGAATGGCACCTGGTGTGGTCTGCTGCTACTGTAGCCCATCTGCCTCAAGGTTTGATGTGTTGTGCCTTTAGAGATGCTCTTCTGCATACCTCAATTGTAAGAAGTGGTTATTTGAGTTACTGTTGCTGTTCTATCAGCTCAAACCAGTCTGGCCATTCTCCTCTGACCGCTGGCATCAACAAGGCATTTGCGCCTTCAGAACTGCCGCTCACTGGATATTTTCTCTTATTTGGACCATCCATCCATCATCTATACCTGCTTTTTCCTTTCAGGGTCACTGGTACCCATATCCAGCAGTCAGAGTGCCAGGGGCAGGGTACACTCTGGACAGGTTGCAAGTCCATCACAGGGCCACATATAGAGACTAACAAGACAGACAACCATTCGCTCTCTCACTCATGTCTTAGGACAATWTAGAGTTACCAGTTAACTGAACAGTCATGTTTTTGGTGTGTGGAAGGGAACCAGAGTCCCCGGAGTGAACCCTCGCATGCACGAAGAAAACATGCAAACTATACCCAGAAAGTTCCCCAGGCCGTGATTTGATCCGGTGACCTTCTTGCTTAGAGGCAACAGCTCAGCCAACTGAGCCACCGTGCTGCCCTTTCCCTTTGGATAATTCTCTGTAAACCCTTGGGAAGGTTGTGCTTAAAAATCCCAGTAGATCAGCAGTTTCTGAAATAATTAGACCAGCCCTTCTAGCACCAACAATTATGTTGTGTTCAAAGTCACTTAAATCCAGTGGTGGACAGTAACAAAGTACTTTTACTTTATTACTGTAATTAAGTACATTTTTTGAGTATCTGTACTTTACTTGAGTAGTTATTTATTTGGGAACTTTTTACTTTTACTCCACTACATTTCAAAGACAAATATTGTACTTTTTACTCCACTACATTTCTAGGAAGCTTGTAGTTACTCGTTCCTTTTAGATCAGCATAGCTTTATAATCGAGGTACACTTCGCTGCAGCATGCAGAATGGGGCGGTGACGGACCTTTCCGTCAGTCCCATAGCTTATATGGAAATGGGA